CTCTCTCTCTCTCTCTCTCTCTCTCTCTCTCTCTCTCTCTCTCTCTCTCTCTCTCTCTCTCCCCCCCCCCCATCTAAGTCCCTTACCTTGTTGAAGGCGGTCGTTGGCGGGCGACGGCGGGGTCACGCGTGATGGCGGGCGTTGGCAGGTGCTGGCGGGGTGCGTCGGAGAAACTCGTTGAAGTTGCGCGTCGAACACTGGCGGGCACACAGTGCTGCAAGGTAGGGAAGGGGGGACGTCGGGGGCACATCTTCAGCACGAGGGAGGGAACGGGGGCCGGTAGTTCCCGCCCTCACCGATTTGAAATCGGTGCAATCTCGGTCGTCAATCTTCGAGATCGACGATCCAGATGGGCCCCCCCTACCGGCCCCGTTTTATTTTTTTTGGTGGTCCACAAGGTCTGAAACGGTTTCACCCAGTTGACCCGACATTACAGACACAAAGATTTGACCCCTAGACCTGTGCCCTAACCCTGTACTTTGAACCTCTGTGTTGAGTGAGATTCGATCCCTAGACCTACCCTGTACCTTGTACATAGGCCCAGCGATCTGTGTGAGACTCAATCCGTAGGTTTGTAGATTAGGAGTTAGGTCTGTTAGTGTTAGGCTTAGGAAGGTATGTTCTAGAAGTCTCTATCTGAGTCTACTAAGGCCTAGAGTCTGTTGGTAAGTTTGTAGGCTCTAGAAGGTCGTAGGTCCCTGTAGGCCAGTCCAGTCAGCAAGTACCAGGGGTAGGGACTGCACGTGGGGAAGGTTTTGGACCTCGCTGTGGGCTCCACACGTTTTGGCCCAAATTGCCAAACGTCTGGAAGCGTCCCTGGGCGACACGTTTTGGCCCAGGCCCACACGTTTTGAGGCAGGCACGGGTACCTCCGAAGAAGTATAAATCAAGAGGCAGCGTCCATCCATTCATTCATTCGCCTGTGAGCCATGCGGAAGAGCTGCCTTGGTGTCTTGTGCGTGGAGGTTTGCAAGTGCCCGGAGAGGAAGTGGGTGGTGAAGAAGACAGCGGCCATAGCGAACCAGCAAGGGAGACACCGACGGCCATAGCTAGAAAGAGGAAGATGACGACGGCCATAACCACCCAACTGTTGGTGTAGATAGAGTGTACAGAGTGTGAGTGGCTACGCATTGTGGACATTCAGGGTGACCCTCGTACGTGTGTGCATGCGAGAGTGTGCGAAGTGAGGTTGGTGGTAGAGAGTGTTCGGCGGCCATAGCCGCAAGTCGTACAGTTGATTCAGACTGAGTTTGATACAAGTTTATTGTTGTTTCTGAGTTGGAAGAGTTCGATTTTGCCATCGGTTCTCAGGTGTGCATGTTGTGAACAAATCCAAAGTCGAGACCGATTGCATTGGTATCAAAGCAGGTACCCGTTGTCCACGTCGGCGGAGCTGCAGCAAGCGACGAAGAAGGAAGAGACCGCCATAGCCGGAGTTACAGAGAGAGAGAGAGAGAGCAGGGGGACGACAACCACAGCTGCCAAGCTCGGGAAGAAAGACGACCAGCAAGAAGAAGAGAAAGACGCAGAGAAAAGGAAGAAGAAAGTTACGAAGAGGGAGAAAAAGTCAACCATAGCTGAGGTGAAGAAGACGAAGGTTCTGGCGAACAAGATGATCCACGATAGCTAGAAGTTTGAAAGGTTGACCAAGAGAGTTGACCAACGTCGACCTGGAGTTGACCACGAGCGTTGACCGGGTGTTGACCAACTTTGACTGAGAGTTGACCAGGGCATTGACCAGGAGCGTTGACTGACGAGTTGACCAAGACCGTTGACCGGAGCGTCAACCCAACTGGAGCGAGAAGATTACCAGTACCATCTCTCCAAGCCCTGGCCTATCCCTTTACCCCATGGATGTGCACCTTCACCTTGGTACCTGCTGATGTTAGGGCTATCAAAGTCGGTCAGTACTATCTCCTTGTCACTTCTATCCAGGTCGGTAGGATTCTGTGTATGTGGTCATAGAACCGTAAGTCTAGCCCGAGTAGTGAGTCAAGACCCCTCGATAGAAGTTAACATGTTCGGTCTACGTGTTGAGGCGGGGAATCGTTGTTGATTGTGCACTTTCACCATGGTGACCAACATGACAGGGTTTAGTACCACCCCCTACAGTAAGGAATAAGAAGAGAGAGTTGTCGCCCTTCTACGAGAAAGGAAGGAGAGAATGGAGAAGAGGGAGTTAACCAAGCAGGCCAAGATGTTGGCGTTGCTGGAGGCGCAAGAAGCAAAGAAGAAGCAGATAGAGGAGGAGCTGAAGAAGGAGCAGGAGGAGAAGATGGCGGCTATACAAGAGGAGGTGGAGAAAGAAGAAGAAGAAGAAGAAGAAGTACAGGAAGAAGAGCAATTGGAGAGAAGGAGAGGGGAAGCCAACACAAGCAAAGAAATCGAGATTGCAAAGATTGCACATGAGTGGGCCGCACATTTGGAGTTGGGGGAAGACAGGGAGGCCGAGATGGCCATACCCCAGCAAGAGAGAGAAGCGACAAGGAGACAAATTGAGACAGAAAGGGACCCAATGAGGAGGAAGGCGAAGGAGGAAGAACAGCAAATGGCATGGAGATACCGGCTGTCCCAAGACAGGGTAAGACAATTGGAAGCGGCGGAAAGTATAAAGAAGGATCTGAAAGCGGCAGAAGCCAGGATGGGGAAGATTGGGGCCGAAACTGAGATAGCCACCAAACTCGCTACCCTGACCCAAAGTGTAGAGTCGTTACTAATTGCGCACCGCGAGCAAAGGCAGTTCAACCACATTTTCGAAGTAAAGATAGATGCAATGCGAGTTGGGTTCAAGGATTTTGCGAGTGACATGATGAAGTACCTATTGGTTGAAGTCCATAATGCAACTAATAACACCAGAGAGTTTTGTACCGGCGCCATTGAAGGCGCCAAGTTAGCGACTCCTTAGGAAGAGGAGTCGGCCCCACCACGCCGTGAGAAAGTTAAGGTTCGTTTTCCCGAACCCTTCAGTGGAAAGAAGGGTGAAGATTTCGGTAACTGGGAGGCCAGCGTGCACTCCTACTTGTACCTGCAGGGAGTCACGCTTGAGGACCACGTTTTGGTGGCCTTCCAGGCCCTTTGAGACGAGGCGACTAGCTTTGCTAGGTCGCTTGCCCGCGCTGCAAATTGCGCGAATGATATGGTTACATATTCTAGATCGACACCACTTTCTGAGTTCCCGAAATCGCTCAAGGAACGATTCTCAGATGTGACGCGGGGGCTTAATGCCTCTGACAAACTCCAAATGATACACACTCGCCAGTGGAAGAGTGTGCACGGTCTCAAGTCCACCATGGACAAACTGATTGCGGTCCCTGGGCATGGAGTGACCGATGCCCAGCTCCTTAACCTCTTCTACCGTGCCCTGCCTGAAAATATTCAGGGACACTTCTTCGAAAAGAAGAATCAGCAGGGCATGACTTACGATACACTTAGTCGGGAGGCAGTAGCATTTGCTGCCCAAGCATCGCCAGTTACCACGTTCGGGCACAAAGATCTGTCAAAGGGAAAAACGTGAAGGGACGCACCATCTCGAGCCCAATTAAGGCCAAAGATAGTCTAGTACTAACAATGGAGGAAGGTGGTGCCGACAAAGTTCCCTACTCTAACATCGAGTGGGGACTAGAGGAGGAGAACAGCGGCGCAAGCCAGGAAAGGACCTACACTGCTGTCGCGGCCAGAGGGAGGCCGCGAGGAGGAGGACAACGGTCCAGCCAGAATGGTCGGGCCCTAGGTGGCCGAGGACAGGGCAACCAGGGGGTTGGCGGAAGGGGAGGACCCTCGTCTAACCGTCCGCATTTTAGTCGATCACCCCCCAGACAGGGAAGGTGGCATCCAGGCCGGCCCGAAGGCCGACCTTGGTTAGATCTGGGTATAGATCAAAGAGTATGACAAGAATGCATTAACAGTTCTCAATGCGTATTCTGCGAGGACCCAGGCCACATTATCAAATTTTGTCTCAAGTATAGGGACCGTGTTGTGTTTGGGGCAGCAAAAGACAGCCGTCGGTAGGGGTCGCAACTGCCCCTACACCAGGAGTATAGGGATCTGAGCGTGCGCACGAAGTAGAGACTCCCACACCACATATCTCCATGGCAGAGGTTGCAGGCCAGCGTCTAGTAAGTTGTCCAGAGACTGCTTGTGTTAGGGTGTCTCTAGACACTTCCCTCACAGGCTTAGCCGAGGAGTTAAGAGAGAGGAGGCAAGTCTCGGCCAAGATGAAGAACGATAGTAAAGGACAGTTGATCCTTGCAGATGTAGAGATATTGAGAGCTAGAGTAGGAGCCTTGATAGACAGTGGGGCAACTAGGAGTTATATTAGTCGTCGAGCGCTAAAGAAGTTGAAGCTAAATCTAAAAGTCCAGCGATTTAAGGAACCTGTAGTCAGCATCCTTACAGACAATAGCAGGATGCGCGTTGAAGAGTATGTTGAGGGGGTTCACTCCTACTTTCGCCTAATGAAAGATGGGAAGGTAGAGAAGGTACTGCACTCCTTGACCCTCCTCGTAAAAGAGAGTCTCCCGTTTGACATTGTTCTAGGTACAGATTGGGGAGAGGCAGCAGGAGCCATACTGCACCTTAGAGAGCACGAGTGTAGGCTCCCTAGCGCGTCAGACGAAGTCAAGCACGAGGGTAGATAATCCCCTTGCCCATTGCAGCCTCAATGCTCCCGCGTTCGCCAGACTAGTGTGAAAGGAGCAGCTTAAAGAGCAGGTGTTCGTAGCCTATGTTAGGCCCGATTTCTGATCAGCACAAGGAAGAGGAGAAGATCCATCCTACTATCGCCAGTCTACTGGAAGAATACAAGGACTTATCTGAAGCACCTTCAGGATTAGTGCCCAGAACGATCCAGCACCGTATAGAGATAGAACCTGGCACGTTCCAGCGATAGCCCCGAGCCCTTTCGTTGGCCCTCCTTCGGTCCTCCTTGGTGAAGTCCTGGAGGGGGTTTACCCACCAAAGTGGCGATTAAAGCAATATCCGTCCAAACCTCGGCCCTTCTAAATTTTCGAATCTTTTCTAACCCTTCTGACGTGGCGTCGAGAAATCGAGCCCCGATCGGAATCTAATCGACCCGACACAAGGGGCACAACCAAGGCTTATCGCCATTTCTGTACTTGATGCAAGAGCCATGGGCTCTCACGACACATTGCCGACAATCTACCCACTCGACATATACTTCCCCAGTAGGATGCATAGGGACGGAATAAACGCGTGAAATTGCTTCGCAAAAATAGCAAAATTCATCGGGAAGAGAGAGAAGAGATGAAGGTGAGAGAGGAGAGAGAGGTGTTGTAGGATTACCTTCGTCCCCCATTGCCACTTGTCTGCTTCTTGCCACGCGGAAGAACTGCCACTTGTCCGTACTTGTGTCCGTTCGTTGGTTCCGGTTCCTTCCATGAAACGATTTCTTCGCCCTTAGGTACCTTAACTCGCCGATGCAAACGTGTCAACCCGTCCGCGTTTCCGTGCCTCTCCGTCTTCCAATGGACGATGTCGAAATCGTACTCCTATAGGCGTACCGCCCAGCGCCCAATCATACCGGTGTAGTTAGTGAGCCTCTTCAGAGCCCGCAGCGGCTCGTAATCCGTCACTAGAAGACACTTCTGTCCGTAAAGATACGGATGGAAGAGCTGGATTCCCCAAACCTCGGCGTAACATTCGCCTTGCGGGGCCGAATCGTTCCTCCTCTCGTCTTGCACCGTGCGTGATGCGTATTCGATGACGTGTTCTCGGCCGTCGTGCCCCTTTCGCGCAAGAATGGCGGAGATTGCCTCCGGTTGCCAGTCCGTAATGAGTATGAATTGCTTTGTAGGGCCCGGCCGGATCAAAATAGGTGTTGTGGCCAGGGCGTCCTTGAGGGTGGCGAAGGCCTGCTCGCATTCGGCGTCCCAACTGAGAGGCTGGTCCTTTCGCAGCAAGTTCGTTAGGGGCCTTGCTATTGCGGCAAAGCCCTTGATGAAACGACGATAGTACGACGCCAGTCCCAAAAAGGCTCGAACCTGCGTCAGGGATGTGGGAACGGGGGCATCCTTTACCGCCGCGACCTTTCTTGAATCTGGCCGCAGTCCTCCCCGCGTCACCACGTAGCCCAAGAACGAGATCTCTGATAGGAAAAACTCGCTCTTCTCGAGCGCGATCTTGAACCCAACGTCTCTCTGAGCTCCCAGCGTCCACTCGATATGTTGTGCGTGCCCGTGATAGGTTTCCGAGTAGACCAAAATGTCGTCCATATACACGATGTCGCAAAAGTTGATCATTCCTTGAGTCAGTCGTGTCTTGTTGACGAAGTTTTGAAACGTCACATTCATAGCCCGTTGAAACGTGGCTGGTGCGTTGCAAATCCCCATAGGGCACCGAACCCACTGCCACGTGCCTTCAAATAACACGAAGGCCGTTTTCGGCCAATCTTCCTTCTTGACCAGAATGTGATGAAAGTCGTGACGAATATCAAATTTACTAAAATAATTAGCACATCCAATCGCATCCTGCAAATCATCAATCCGGGGAAGGGGATACACATCTTTGGTCGTGATATCATTCAGCTTGCGATAATCGATGCATATGGGAATCGCCCCGTTCTTCTTCGGCACTAGTACTACCAAGAATGACCAAGGCCCAGTAGCAGGCTTGATCCATCCATTAGCTTCGAACTCTCGAATCCGCAGGAGGGCCGTTTTTCGTTCTACTAAGGAATACCTGTAGGGTTTACAGTGGATGGGAGGATGGTTCCCGGTCTGAATTTCGTGTTGTATGACTAACGATAATCCAATGTCTGTGTCGATCACGCTGATCGCCCCCTGATATTCCTTTAGGATGTCCGCGATTAGGTGATGAATCTCGTCAGGTACGTAGTGGGGCACGTGCAACTCGTACGTCTGGTTCCATATATGTACGTCGATCTGTTTCGTACTTACCTGCTTAGTGGTCTCGGGCGGGGTGTGGAAACAAACGAATTGTCAGATCGCCAGGAGAATAACATGGCCATCATTTGCGCGTCCTGCTCTCGGATGGCCACGTGTTCCTCCGGGGTTACTCCGCCACGAATATCCTGCCATGGCACGGGTTTTTAATCCCGACTCCGTCAGATCCCGTCTCGAGGCGCCCAGGTTCCAAAGCATTGGCCTCTGCCCCCAAGAGTAGCAATCGTATTTTTTTTGCAAGTGGCAAAAGAGACCGCGGGAGACTCGTGATGTCGCAGAAGTGCCTCTTCTCGTTGTATCGCGCAAGGAGAGGGGAGATACCTTCGTACAGGGTTCGAGGGGGTTCCCAAGAGAATCGACCATCCGCAAAATTTGTACGAGAGGTTCTCCCAGAATCATCGCCTGCGTTCTTTGTAAGTTCCGACCAGTCAGGCTCAAAGGTTCTGCGCTGGCTCTTTGCGCAGGATAATAGATGCGCTGCTGCGCCAATTCCTGAATTACTGCATCATCCTCGTCACTGTTGTCCGCATTCTTTGATGATTGCTTATTGTCCGCGGAACTCTCCCAGGTGATCACACGGAGAGTTCCCGCCATTACCTGAGAAACTTGCGAGGCTTCATTAATGGTAGTACGGAGGGCCAGTCTCATAGGTACGGCATAGGGTTTTCCTCCTATATTTCGAAGGATAATCGATCGTTTTTCGAAGTCCAGGTTTGCTCGCAGAGCCATAAGGGCGGGTAGGCCCAAAAGAACGTCATAGGTGCTTACATCTAATACGATGACATCTCCCAGAGCATGCACCTTACCCAATCGAAAAGCAACATTGGTCATCCGTCCTACTGTTTTAATCTTTTCCTCATCTGCTGAGACGAGCTGATCCTTGTCCGTAAGCAGAATCAGATCTTTCTTTCTTCCTGCCCTTTCAACCGCCCGTAACGAGATAGCTAAAACAGCTGCTCCGAAATCGATAATGGCATTGCACGGGACTCCCTATACTTCGATGTCACATTCTGCGAAATTCCACAGGATTGTCTTAATTTGTAGGACGTGATCATCTTTCTGGATTAGTCCTAAACGTATCGGATCCGCAATACCAGCAGCGGGTTCGTCCGGTATTGGACTCTTTGCTTTCGTATTTGTTGTGCGAGCAAGGGCGAACCGCTTCCGGTTTGCCTTACAGTGTTGAAACATACGTTCGTTGGCTTGTTCTGATATCGATAGTAAATGGCCGATCGGAAGAGGAATCCGATGATGTAGTGTCCGTACAATGTTCAAAACGTCGATTTCCCTGATAACGTAGGTGGGTCCTCCAGACTCCATTTCTCCTAGAGAAGGTCTCCACTCCGCCACCTCTTTCTGTTCGGGTACAGGTCTGATCGTTCCGATCATGCCCAATCCTGGATAGCCAACCGTTACGTACTGATCCAACGGAATGAGCTTTGCGGCTTCTTCCGTCGTAGCTAACGCGCTTCCTCCTCCCTCCATTTCTTCCATTAACGCCCCTACTCGTCCTGGTCCGTTAGCGATCGGGGCTTTTGCTACTGATGCGGCTCCGATCCGCGATTGTGGGGGTCGATGGGGGCGGTCCCGGGCTATATGCCCAGGTTGGTGACACGTGTAACAATAGTTTCATCATTCTTGGAGTGGCAAATTCTGACGAAAACATAATTTCGTTTTTTGGTAGTATGAAAATAGAATTTGCCCAAAAATGAGTACCTAAACCAATCATACGGACGTTCAAATTACCAGCGGCCCCTTCGAGAGCGGGTGCTGGAGCCAGCCCGTGTTGAATCGGGGCGGCACGTACTGCTATCGGTCGCATCAACCTCATCATCGCCTCTATTCGAGCATTGTGTTCCCACTGTTCCTTTTTGCTTTCCTGGATCAAATTAACCAGTGTTTTGGTTAGTTCCAATAAGGCGGTTGACTCATTCGGTCGTGCGGGACTTTCGGTCAGTGGTGGAGGTGCCGTCATCGCGAGAACTGGCATGCCCGTAATTACACTCAGGGCTTGTCGTTTGGGGGTAATCTGTTCCAGATAGGTGACAGTGTCAAACACAAACCCCATGTTTTCGAACTTATTTTGTAGTGCGGCCAGCTTGGCTTTTGCTCTTGCTAATTCGGACGAGTCTCCTTCCCTAGGATATCTTCTCCTTCTAGGAAACTTGCAGTGAACTTTCATTCCATTTCTTCTGCAGCCGCCATGATCTGTTGCAACGTGTGATTGATGGTGGAGAACTGTTTTCGCAGTTTCGCCCTCATCGCTCTACTGCGAAGCCCGTCGATAAACAGATCTCTACCTACCTGTTTGCCTCGTTCGGCTTTTACAAACATTCGAAAAAATCGATTTCGGTATTCGGTGACAGACTCGAGGGGGTTTTGGTCTCAATCTTTAATCATAAAGAAGGCTTGTTCCGGATGGATATAATCAAATCGGTTCAGGAAGTCTCGCTCGAACGTCGGGAGATCAACCCATACATAGGTGTTGAACCAATGATGAGTGTCTCCCCCTAACCAAGCGGGAATGTTTACTTGTGCCTCGTTGTCATCGTACTGCTGAGCTCGGAGCGTGGCCAGCCATGCTCCGGCAAGGTGGTGAGCGGGATTGAACAGATAGAGATCGGGTGGGACCATGGGTGCCCGCGCTCGTGGTACGGGTTGATTAGGATTCAGTTGTTGATTGGGGTTCTGTTGTGGGTTCGGGTTCTGTTGATTGGCATTCATGTTGGCCGCCCGTCGAGCCGCAGACGGGCTTCTCGTGACGACGGGGTCGCGTCGATGCGCGTTCCGGGGTCGAGGTCATCCCCTGTTAGCCAGATCGCTTCGATCTCAATTTATCGCCCACGAATCCTATAACCCTGCCACATGTCGGCTCCGATACCAACCTCACGCCCGCGCGACTTCCTGATCAGAGTGGGATGTGGGCCTAGAAGTGCGAAAAGGGGTGTGCCAAGGATTTTTGGAAAATTGGAGGTGGAATCCGAGGTCAGAACTGAGATCTCCTATGGCAAGGTTTCAAGGGCATGGGTGTGATAAGGCAAAGGGGCGGTTAAGGCAGATGGTATGTGCGATGCATCCCAAGTCGTCCGATCCTCTGTTCCAGTGACGGCAGTTCGGGAGAGGCCCGCTTGTGAGGGTTGTGACTTCTATCGGTCGGACCTTTGGGTGTGGACGCGTGGCGATTGGTGGCGCGCGTTATGGTTAGGCCCCGTAATTCCAGAGGCTCGGCGGTTGCCGCGTCGTCTACAATTTCCGCATGGCGTGTGGGGCCAATACGGGGCTATGGAATTCCACGGAACCACCGTGAGTTGGTGGTAGGGGAGGAGGATGTGGAAGGGAGGGAAATTGGTGGCAATAACGACGAAGCCGGGGGATATGAAATATTGTGTGTTATACGTAGTTGGGTAGTCGGGAGCCCTCGGGTCGCTGGTTATGGCGCGGTGGAAGTCCTGGGACACAGTTGGTTGTTCTTGGTTAGACAAGGGAATTCCGGAGATCTCCACCTAAGCTGTCCTTCCTCCCAGTATTCACCGTACTCTGACATTTTGGCATTCCGACGGATCACTAGCTACCCCAGTTCATCAGTGATCGTGAATCACCCGCGTGTGCGCTGATCAGATCGCGCTCACACGTGCGCACACGAGGTGTTCGGTCGTACACAGGCCTGTTGTCTCGTTTCCGTGCAAAAGTGAGAGTTCAATCCTACATGCAAAATCGCCACGTGGCACTGATAGCCTCCCAATCATGCAAACATGCAAAATGACATCGCACACATCAGACACCGCAACAACATCAAATTCTTATTATGATGACAGCAGATCGAAGTGACAAGCAACGATGATGATTAGGCAAAAACGACAAGCATATCATTCCATCATGACGAATATACACAAGAGAGGAAGGATCGAAACCGAGCAAGACACCATACAAGGGCCAATCGTCAAAACCAAAATGCCGAAGGAAAATAGGGCAAATTGCCCGAGCCGAAATCAAAACTTATATACAAAAGTCGAGGAAAAGACAAAGAAAATTACAACTCCACGTCCATCAACCTCCGCTCTCTTTCTCTCTCTCTCTCTCTCTCCGATGCGGACAGTCCGTCGTCACGCACCAACCCACGAAGTTGTCACCCCGATTTGTCCTCCTGTGCCCGTCGGGTTCGCCCGCGCACTACAGTTCATCGTAGCCTCACGCATCAACCCCGCACATTCGGCACCAGCTCATCGGGTCGCCCAACTCCCACTTCAACTCACCTCTTACTTSGCTTGTGAGCCGACCCTCACTGATCGCGCTACCCCGAGCTTCCAGCAACTGTTTAAGAGAGCTATCTAATCGCGCAGCCGAAATTTATAGCGTTCATGCATGCGCGAAGAACACGGAATTGCAAGGACTTAGAAAAATAAAAGGGGAGGGAGTGCCTACATTCTGCATAGCCAGATCGCGGCGTGGGGGACATAGCCACTCCCCACGCATCGATCCGATCATGCAGCCCGCGGGCCAATTAGACACAGCAAGGAAGACAGAGGGCTGGAAAGACTGCGCAAAATTACAGTTACACGCAAGATTAAGGGCGCCGACTAATCAGAGTTCCGTTGCAGCCGCAAAAAGAAGCGCGTAGGCAAAAAGCTTCGCGTGGCAAAAAAAATCCTAAATTCCTAAATTCCTAGCTAATGCAACAATGCAAAATTCCGAAAAGAAAGTTCAAAATTCCGAGAGTCGTCGAGGGCTCGACAAGATTCGAAAAAGAAAATTCAAAAAGAAGAAACAAAAACTCCCGTGCGATCATCGCACCAAAAACCCGACAGCAGAAGAAGAAAGAAGTGGCATCAACCATTATTAATTCCGCCTTCGTCGGCGCGCCTAGCCACTCAACCGCTCAACCGACCATCCCGGGACTTGCCCAGCCCTGGTCCCAGCCATCCGAAAAGAAACATAAAAAGAAGAACAAACAGGGACACCAATGCAATTTCCCGTCGATCCCATCTCCCGTAATTGGCCCAACCTTCCCATCGTAGGACCCCCTCATTGTCATTGCGCAGAAAGTCGCGCGTGGCACAGAAAGTGGTTCGTCACACTACTCTTGCTCAATGTTCCCATCGACTTCCCATCGACTTCCCTGAGGCTCTCGTTATCCTGACTAACATACTGTCCCCATTCCTCACCCTTCTCCATTAGTCTTCTTCTGGCCATCACCTTCCCCCGGGTTCTGCTTTACTTCAACTAGCTCTACATCGTTGGTTTGCCTTGAGCATCACAGTTCTTTGCTACTTTGGCTTCCAGTGACTCTGGCTTGAATAATTGGCGAACTTCGCAATTTTATGGACCATTTCTGAGACTTCGACCTTCAGATACCTCCTTGGATATCCTTATTTCTCAAGCTCCGCCTTGCATCGCACAATGGTCCCTTTCCTTGCATTGCTTGGTGTGTTATCCCAATGTGAGCTTCCCATCTTGGTGTGTAGGCATATGGGTCGCAGCATCATTGTTGCATCTCATGTCCTGCACCTTCACCCTCCTTGCTGCGAGCCCTCATTCAGAGCTCGCATCCTTGAGGCCGGCAGTCTATGTCGAGATAGCCGTCCCTTCCAGTCTCATCACTATGTGTTGTGCGCTCCCCTTGTTTCGGGTGCTCCCCTTGTTTGGGGTTCTCCCCTCGTTTTGGGTGCTTCCTTGCTTACAATCAATACCGGCCTCAATGGTCCTATGTTGAGCCCCTGTTTTATTCCTCCCTACCTCTGAGCCTGACGAGTATCACATTATTGTGTGGGTACCCCGTTGGAGCTTTTGTTCGAAGAGCTACATCTGCCATCTATGAAACCATCCCTATGTTTGTTGTGTGACGAGGCTACTTATTTCCTTAGTTCAGGTAGTGTGCCTAGTTGTATAGGGCACGTGAGTCCGCACCTCAGTCTTTTTGTGGACTTCAAATAATAATAAAAAACATCCGCTGGGTATGCTAGAGGTGCTGGTATGAGCAAACACACCTAGCATCCCGAGGGATGGATCCAAGCTATTGGTGGGGAGCAACACCTGCTGGAGAACAGGGCCAGTGTCCCTTTCAATATGGTGTTCGTGATACACCAGAGGCATCAGGAGCAGCTGAAATGACAGAAACAAGGCGGCAGCCTCTGTGAGGTCTGGTTTCCTCTTCCCTTGTCCGTTCTTCGATTGGATCCCTTTCTCTTTCTCTTACCTCTGTGAGGTCTAGTTTCCTCCTCCTTTTCTTTACCTCTTTGCCTTTTGGCTGCGTGCAAGTGGGTCCTTGTGACACACGGGGATGGGGGCAGCCAGTGCTTAACCTGTCATCCACCTGGCTGGCTTTGTACGTAAGAGGTGATGAACAGGCGGGGCTTTCCTTCCTTACCCCTTTCCTTTTTTTTTTTTGCCTATATATCGTCAAACAAAACTGCCCGGTAAACTGTGAGCAGCGAGGGAGAAGGGAACATATATATATAGTCGCACAGTACCGGAGCGCGAAAGCGAAAAAACAAAACAGAAAAAGGAAAGAAGGAAAGCTCCGCCTGTTCATCACCTCTTACGTACAAGATATATATCTATATATCGTATATATACTAGGCTACCCGCCGGGCCGCCCGGGTCCCGGGTGGCCAGCCCGTGCAAGGACCAGGGAAGGTCCCAGTAAAAAAAAAAAAAAAAAAAGAAATCCAAAAAATCTGAAAAAAAAGTATGTTATGCAGAAAAATAAACTAAACAACTTTTTCCTNTATGTTATGCAGAAAAATAAACTAAACAACTTTTTCCTCAGGGTTACATCGAAATTCTTCACCGAATTTAGAATAAAAAATAATATTTATATTTTTTTATTTATATGTTTTTTATTTATATATTTTTTATTTTTATTGTTTTTGGCCCGGCCGGGCGAGTGACCCCGGGCCAGAAATGGCCGAAGTTGTGGGGCTTTTACGACTCCCGAGTGAAGAAAAAACGCATATTAAGGTTCGAAGGCGGGCGCATATTCATTTTTTGGGAGGCCTCAACTGCGCACGTGAGCAGCAAGAAGAAAAGGCACTAAAGGCAAAAGGTCACTTTGTCGAGTGCTTTCCAGGCGTGACGTGACATTTGGACGAGGAGGAGGCGGGCAGGCAACACTCCAAGGCAGCACCGCATTTGCTGTAGCTTGTGAAAAGCTGGAAAAAAGTGCAGGAACAACTTGAAACAATGCAAAAACAGGACGACTTGTAAACGGCGGGTCATTGGTCTATTTCTATGTACTTACTGCTGCCTGTTTCCCCTGAACATAACGCACATCGTTGTAAGCGGATACAACGCACAGGTTGCTTACTAATCGAATACAACGCACATGCGTTCTATTCGAACAGCCCTGCTTTTCGGATACAACGCATGTGCGTTTCGAATTCTCGAATTTTCCGAAGACTCGAATACAACGCATATGCGTTACGTTCGGGGGAAGACGGGTAGCTGCTAAGAATAATCACAGAACGAGGACGAAAGAGTAATCCCCGCGATGAAGCTCCTCAACGGAAAGCAAAAACCAAAGAAAATAGGCACCGAGATTTAGCGTTTCTACGCGATGAACGAGCACTTCAGCATTCGTACCCTAATTATTATGCGAAAATTTTGAACACACCTAAGCCGGGAATCAAAAGGGGATAAGAAAATGAAACGCGTTGTCTGTGGGATTAGCAATCTCGTGCCGAGACCGATTGGTAGTCAACAAAGAAGCAAGATGGCATTTTTTGATGGACAGACAGCACGGGGCAATCACGAGACACTGAGGCAGTGCTTGTGGCCCGCGAGATTCGGGCCTCGATCGATAGATCGGCCGATGGATCAAGCCTTAGCAAAATGCCACGACAAATAAAAACGGACCAGTCAGCGAGGATTCGTCATTATCTTGTCAGTGAATGATGTTTACAATGGCCAATACTAATTCTTCGCGGTGACTCCGCGCCCACAGCATTCCCTGGTGAACATCCGGTGCACGTTCAGATCCAGTGTCCCAAAACCAGCACTTCATTCACTACGTCAGGAACGATAGAGATCGATGCCTTTAAAATGAAACACACACACACAGAAAGAAAGGGGAACAAAGAGAGAGAGAGAAAAAAAAAAAACAAAAAAAAAACAAGCAAACAAACAGGAGAAAGGCACGCCTTTACACAGCACGCGCCCAAGTAAAGAGCTGATGCACCGTCAAGCTGCAACGAATGCTTTACGTTGATCTCTCTCTCTCTCTCTCTCTCTCTCTCTCTCTCTCTCTCTCTCTCTCTCACACACACACACACACACACACACACACACACACACACACAC